TGGGGAATTCGGGGGGGAAAAATGGGGAAAAATGGGGGAAATGGGGGGGAATGGGGAAAAAAGAAAAAATAGAATTTTTTTTGGAATTTTTGGAAATTTATTGGGGGTTTTGGGGGATTTTTATGGGGATTTTTTGAGGATTTTTCAGGGGATTTTTGGGGAAATTTTTTGGGTGATTTTGGGGATTTTGGGAGGATTTTATGGAGATTTTTTGGGGGGATTTGGGGGGATTTTTGGGTGTATTCTGGGATATTTTTAAGGTTTTTTTTGGGGGTATTTTGGGGGTCTCACAGGTGGGTGGCAGGATGGATTTTGGGGCATTTTTGGGTATATTTTGTGCTACTTTCAGGATATATTTTGGGGTATTTTTGGGATATTTTGGGGGTATTTCTAGGATATTTTAGGCATATTTTGAGGATATTTTTGGGATGTTTTTGGGATATTTTTGGGGCTCTCACCTCCCTGTACAGGTGGATGGCACGATGGATTTTGGGGCATTTTTGGATATTTTAAAGGAGTTTTTCGGGTATATTTTGGGGATATTTTGGGGATATTCTGGGGATATTTTTGGGATATTTTTGGGGGTATTTTGGGGCTCTCACCTCCCTGTACAGGTGGATGGCACGATGGATTTTGGGGCATTTTTGGGTATATTTTTAGGAACTTTCAGGACATATTTTGGGATATTTTTTGGGATATTTTAGGGATATTTTGGGGATATTTTGGGGATATTCTGGGGATATTTTTGGGATATTTTTGGGGGTATTTTGGGGCTCTCACCTCCCTGTACAGGTGGATGGCAGGGTGGATTTTGGGGCATTTTTGGGTATATTTTGTGCTATTTTCAGGACATATTTTGGGGTATTTTAAGAATATTTTGTGGATATTTTTAGGATATTTTAGGGATATTTTTAGGATATTTTTGGGATGTTTTTGGGATATTTTTGGGGGTATTTTGGGACTCTCACCTCCCTGTACAGGTGGATGGCCGGGTGGATTTTGGGGCATTTTTGGGTATATTTTGTGCTATTTTCAGGATATATTTTGGGGTATTTTAGGGATATTTTGGGGATATTTCTAGGATATTTTAGGGATATTTTTGGGATATTTTTGGGATGTTTTTGGGGGTATTTGGGGCTCTCACCTCCCTGTACAGGTGGATGGCCGGGTCGTTCCCACTCAGCAGGAACACGGTCTCCAGGTGCTCCCCCACCCGGACCCTGCGGGTTTGGGGCCCTTTCAGCCCATTTGGGCATTTTCGGATTTTATTTTTCATTTTTTCAGGGATTTTTTTGGGTTTTTTTGGGGTTTTTGGCACTCACTGGGCGTGGCACAGCTGGAAGGGGGTGAAGCGAAGCTCCAGGTTCAGGCAGCTCTCTGGGGAGGGGCACGAGGGGATTTGGGGGTCCCAAACCCCTTTTGGGGGGTCCCAAACCCTTTTTGGGGGGTCCCAAACCCCTTTTGGGGTCCCAAACCCCTTTTTTGGAGATTCCAAACCCATTTTTGGCTCCCCAATCCCATTTTAGAGGTCCCTGATCCACTCAGCAGGAACACGGTCTCCAGGTGCTCCCCCACCCGGACCCTGCGGGTTTGGGGTCCTTTCAGCCCATTTGGGCATTTCTTGATTTTATTTTTCATTTTTTCAGGGGTTTTTGGGGTTCTTTTGGAGTTTTTTGGCACTCACTGGGCGTGGCACAGCTGGAAGGGGGTGAAGCGAAGCTCCAGGTTCAGGCAGCTCTCTGGGGAGGGGCACGAGGGGATTTGGGGGTCCCAAACCCCTTTTGGGGGGTCCCAAACCCTTTTTGGGGTCCCAAACCCCTTTTGGGCTCCCAAATCTCTTTTTGGGACATCCCAGCCCAAATTTGGGGGTCTCAAACCCCTTTTTGGGGGTCCCATCCCCATTTTCAGGGTCCCAAATCCCATTTTTTGGCCCCCCCAACCCTATTTTGGGGTCCCCAGCCCCGTTTTTTGGGTCCCTGATCCCATTTTTTGGCCCCCCAACCCCATTTTTTGGGTCCCTGATCCCATTTTTGGGGTCCCCACTGGAAGGGGGTGAAGCGAAGCTCCAGGTTCAGGCAGCTCTCTGGGGAGGGGCACGAGGGGATTTTGGGGGGTCCCAAACCCCTTTTGGGGGGTCCCAAACCCTTTTTGGGGGGTCCCAAACCCCTTTTGGGGTCCCAAACCCCTTTTTTGGAGATTCCAAACCCATTTTTGGCTCCCCAATCCCATTTTAGAGGTCCCTGATCCCATTTTTTGGGGTCCCAGCCCAAATCTGGGGGTCCCAAACCCCTTTTTGGACATTCCCAAACCCTTTTTAGGGGTCCCAAATCCCATTTTTGACCCCCCAACCCCATTTTTTGGGTCCCTGATCCCATTTTTGGGGTCCCCAATCCCATTTTTGGCTCCCCAATCCCATTTTTGGGGTCCCCAATCCCATTTTTGGCTCCCCAATCCCATTTTTGGGGTCTCCAATCCCATTTTCAGGGTCCCCATCCCCATTTTTTGGCCCCCCAATCCCATTTTTGGGTCCCCAATCCCATTTTTTGCATCCCAAATCCCATTTTTGGGGTTCAAAATCCCATTTTTTGGCCCCCAATCCCATTTTCAGAGTCCCAAATCCCATTTTTTGGGTCCCAATCCCATTTTTTGGCTCCCCAATCCCCATTTTTTGGCCCCCCAATCCCATTTTTGGGTCCCCAATCCCATTTTCGGGGTCCCTGATCCCATTTTTTGGCCCCCAAACCCCATTTTGGGGTCCCAATCCCATTTCTGGGGTCCCCAATCCCATTTTCAGGGTCCCTGATCCCATTTTTTGGGCCCCCCAACCCCATTTTGGAGGTCTCCAACCCCATTTTTGGCTCCCCAATCCCATTTTTGGGGTCCCCAGCCCCATTTTTGGGGTTTTTGGGGTCTCCAACCCCATTTTCAGGGTCCCCAATCCCATTTTTTGGCCCCCCAATCCCATTTTTGGGGTCTCCAATCCCATGTTTTGGGTCCCTGATCCCATTTTTGGGGTCCCCATCCCCATTTTTGGGGTCCCTGATCCCATTTCTTGGCCCCCCAATCCCATTTTTGGGGTCTCCAATCCCATGTTTTGGGTTTGATGAAGGTGATGCCCACCACGAGGCCGCGCTGGGGGGGGGATTTGGGGAAGGAATCGATGGAAACGATCTCGGCGTCCACTGCGGGGGAGGGGCGGTCAGGGACACCCCCAAACCCCCCGGGGACGCCCCAAAAACACCCCCAAAATAAGCTCAAAATATCCCACAAAGATTCTCTAAAAATCCCCTGAAAATACCCAAAATATCCCCCAAAAATCCCTTAAAAACCGCCCAAATATCCCCTAAAAATACCCAAAATATCCCCAAAATATCCCCTAAAAATACTCAAAATATCCCACAAAATAGCCCGTAAAAATACCCAAAATATCCCCAAAAGACCCTCCAAAAATACTCAAAATATCCCCCCAAAACTCACCGGGGACACCCCAAAAACATCCCCAAAACAGCCTCAAAATATCCCACAAAATAGCCCGTAAAAATACCCAAAATATCCCCAAAAGACCCTCCAAAAATACTCAAAATATCCCCCCAAAACTCACCGGGGACACCCCAAAAACATCCCCAAAACAGCCTCAAAATATCCCACAAAAATCCCCAAAATATGCCGCAAAAATCCCCCAAAAATCCTCAAAAATATCCCCCGAAAACATCCCCAAAATCTCCCCAAAATCTCCTACAAAATATCCCCCAAAAATCCCCAAAAATCCCTAAAAAATCCCTCAAAGAATCTCTAAAAAATAAGGAAAAAAGTCCCAAATAATCCCAAAAAAATCCCCAAAAATTCCTTAAAAATCCCCAAAAATCAAAAAAAATCCCCCAAAAATCCCTAAAAAAATCCCTAAAAGGGATCGGAAACGGGAACAGAACCGGGAACGGGATCAGAACCAGGATCAGAGCCAGGACCCGGAACGGAACCGGAACCCGAGACAGAACCGGCACCGGCACCGGGGACTGGAGCAGAACCGGGACCGGGACCAGGAACGGGATCAGAGCTGGGACCCGAGACAGAGCCGGGACCGGGAACGGAACCGGGAATGGGATCGGGACCGGGAACAGAACCAGGAACGGGATCGGAACCCAGCAGGGCACCGGGACCCGGCACCGGGGCTGGAGCGGAACCAGAACCGGGACCGGGATCAGAACCAGAACTGGGAACAGAACCGGGACCGGGAACGGAGCCCAGAACGGGATCAGAACCGGGACCTGGGACCGGAACCGGGCCGGGAACGGAACCGGGACCAGAACCGGGACTGGGAACAGAACCAGGACCGGGAACGGAACCGGAACCGGGTACAGGAACGGGACCGGGAGCTGGGTCAGAACCGGGGCCGGAACCGGGAGCGGGAGCACGAACGGGACCCGAACCGGGGCCCTGACCCGAGTCAGGAGCGGGCCAGGAGCGCGGGGGCAGCGGGCCGGGGCCCCGGACCGGGTCGGGACCGGCACCGGGAGCGGCACCGGGAGCGGAACCGGGACCGGGCCAGGAGCCGAGGGGCAGCGGGCCCGGCAGCGCCGCCAGCCCGTAGACGTTGCTCTGCGAGCCCAGGCGGCTGAAGCTGTCCTCGACCAGCGGGCACCGGGACCACAGCGACATCACGGCACCGAACCGGAACCGGAACCGGGACGGAACCGGGACAGAACCGGGACAGGCAGCGCCGCCGGGAGCGAAGCGGAACCAAACCGGGACAGGCAGCAGCGCGGGACAGAACCGAGCCAGAACCGGGAGAGAACCGAGAGGAACCGGGAGCGAACCGGGACAGGCGGCGCCGCGGGCAGCCCCACCGGCAGCGCCGCGCCGGGGCCTTGCGGGCAGCGCGGCGCGCGGGGGTGACGTCACAAACGGCGACGGGACGGATTTGGCGGGGTGGGTGGAGCTTGAGGGGAAACCCCGCCCGCTGTGGGCGTGGGTAAGGAGCCATATAAGGAAACAGAACGCGGAGAGGGCGTGGTTTGCGCGGGGGCGTGGCCAAAGCGGGGAAGGGATTCCTGAGGGGCCCGGGGGAATTTTGAGGTAAAAAAGGGAAATTTGAGGTAAAAAGGGGAATTTTGGGGTTAAAAAGGGAAAATCTGAGGTAAAACAGAGGAAATGTGGGGTTAAATGAGGAATTTTGAGGTAAAAAGGGGAAATTTTGGGGTCAAAGGGGAAATTCTGAGGTAAAAAAAGGAAATTTTGGGGTCAAAGGGGGAATTCTGAGGTAAAAAAAGGGAAATTTTGAGGTAAAAAAGGGGAAAATTTGGGGTCGAAGAGGGAATTGTGAGGAAAAAAAGGAAATTTTGGGGTCAAAAGGGGAATTTTGGGGTTAAAAAGAAAATTTTGAGGTAAAAAAGGGAAACTTTGGGCTTAAATAAAGAATTTTGAGGTAAAAACCAGGAAAGTTTGAGGGAAAAAAGAGGAAACTTTTAGGAAAAAAGGGGGATTTTGAGGTAAAAAGGGAAATTTTGAGGTAAAAAGGGGAAATTTTGAGGTAAAAAGGAAATTTTGGCATTAAATAAAGAATTTTGAGGTAAAAATGAGGAAATTTTGAGGTAAAAAGGGGAATTTTGGGGTTAAAAAGGAAATTTTGGTGTAAAAAAAGAAGAAATTTTGAGGTAAAAAGGAAATTCGGAGTTTGTATGAGGAATTTTGAGGTAAAAAAAGGAAATTTGGGGGTTTGCGAGGAATTTTGGGGTCAAAGATGGAATTTTGAGGTAAAAAAAGGAAATTTTGAGGTAAAAAAGGGGAATTTTGAGGTAGAAAAGTGAAAATTGGGGGGATTTTGGGGTTTTTTGAGGAGATTTTGGGGAAAATGGAGCAGCCCCTCCCCCCTTGTGTCCATCTTGGAAATTCCCGCCAAAATGAGGCCACGCCCCCAAGCGACAGGGAACGCCCCTCAGCAACAAGGCCACGCCCCCAATCATCAGGATTTGATGAGAAACCACAGGCCACGCCCACCAAAATGAAGGCCACGCCCCCATTCCCAAAGCCATGAATATTTAATTGGGGTCCCACTGTGAAGGGGCGGGGCCAGGAATGTTCTGGAAGGGGGGAGGGGAGGCGGGGATTTT